GGCGGCGCCGGCGCCGGCGGCGGTGGCGGCCGCAGCGCGGGGGGCAGCGCGCGCAGCAGCTCGAGCGGCCACGGTGGGTCCATGCGCAAAGAGCGGGAGAGCCTCCCCGGGGCCGCGGCGCGCGCGTCGATGGAGGACTACGGGGGCAACGTAGAGGAGGCCCCTATGGGCTGGGGCCTGCATCAGATTGCTGGCGGGGACGGTGGGCAACCCGCAGCGGGGCGGCCTGAGATTGAGGGCCCTTTGGCTTATGAAGTGGTTGAGGGGGGCGGGGGCCGCTTGGGTGGTTTTTGGGCTGTTTCGACTGGACATGCCGGGACGTGTGGGTCGTTGCTGTTCTGCTTGAGACACGTCGATGACGTCACCTAGCGTCACCGACGCCCTGCGGCACGGCGCGCCCGACCACGTATCACTGCCGCCCCGACTCACCGGCGCCGCCGACCCCCGTCGGGTAGGGAGGGGCCCCGTGGGAGAGGCGGCGGAGCCTCAGTTCGGCAGCTCCAACGGCGGCAACGGCTGGTGGCACGGCGCCCCCAGCGGCGCGGGCGGACCCTCGTCGACCTCCGGCGCGGGGGCCCGCAGCAGCGCCGGCGCCGGCGGCGGCGCGCTTGAGCGGACGGTCACGCGGAGCGACGTCTCCCTGCGACTGATGAGCCCACCAGAGGGCGCCGCCCGCGGCGGCCTGTCCCCGCGCGGCGCTGCCGCCGGCCTCGGCGGCGCCGGCGACCAGCCAGAGCTCTCGCACTTCGAGGCCGCGGTCGCCGCGGCGATCGAAGACCTCCGGCCCGGCGCCCGCGCCGCGCGCGGCGGCGCCCACGGGCCGCCCGCGGCCGCCGCTGCGGCGGCGTCTTGCTCGCCCGGCGCCGCGCGGGACGTGCGGCAGAGGGTCCTTTTCCTCGCCCGCTTTGGCTTCTTATTGGACGACGTCGTCGGGGACGAGGTGGAAGATCTCCTGAAGCTCACCCACCCCCGGCCCCGCGGCCCCAAGCGCGCCGCCGCCGAGACCCCCGCGGGCGCCCTGTCGGCCGCGGCGCGCGCGGTCGCGCGCTGCACGCCGGGCGCGGCTGGCTACTACGCGGTGAGCGCGGTGCACCGGCTGGCGATGGCGGCGCTGTTTGGAGGCTTCCACTACCGCGACTCGTCGGAGACGCAGGTGAGGCCGCGTTGACCGCGTTGACCGCGTTGACCGCGTTGACCGCGTTGACCGGCCGCACCCGCCTCAACCGCCTGCACGCGCGCTCGTGCAAAGCCGAGGGCCCCTTCCCCGCGCTCGTCCCCGCCCGCCCGGCAGCACCACGCCGCGGCCTCCTCGCTTGCCTTAGCTGCTCTGCACGCGCCTTCCCCACCGCCGCACTCCCCTGAAACCACTCCCCCGACCCCCAAACAATCATACACCCCCCCAGCTGGTGTGCCTGCTGGTCGTCCAGGTCATGTTTGTGGGGTACCTCCTGGGGGTGAGGCCCCTGGCACCAGCCCTGCTGCAGGTGCGCGGCTCACAAACAAGGGATCCGGGGGGGAGGGGTTGGTGTGTACAAGGGGCCCGGGGACCAGGGCAGGGCGGTGAGGGCTGCAAGGACGGCGAGGAGGCGCGGGCTGCGGGCGGCGGACGCCTTGAAAGGCGGCCCGCAACGCAGCCGGCGCCGTCGGCGGGCGGAGGGCTTCAAGCCGCAGCCCCTTACGACCCTGCCCGCGCATGCTCTCTGTACCCGCACCGACGCCCCGACGCCCCCGCGCGCCCCCTTGCCGTCCGCCCCTGCGCAGTGGGGCGAGGTGCTGTCTCACTCCGTCGAAGCCGCCATCCTGCTGGCCGGCCTGCTGCTGCTGCACGCGCCCGCCAGCGCCGCGCTGGCCCGGACGCTGGTCACCTGCTACTTCCTGGACCTCGCGTTCATGCTGCTGCCAGACCTGCTGAGATACCTCGTAATGGCCGCCCTCGCGGCCTGGAGGTGGGCGGCGCGCGCCGCCTCGGGCGCGGGCGGCGGGGAGGGGACAAGCCGCGGCGGCGGCGCCGCGCGGGCGGTCGCAGAGGCGGCGGAGGCGGCGGCGGGGGACGTCGGCGGGGAGCGGGCGGCGGACGTC